GAGAACGGAAGAAAAACTTATCAGATGTTGCTTGCTTGTGTTTAATGAGAAAAAGGAAACATCTTCAAAATCTTCGGCAAATTCTGTCTGTCCGTGCGTGTGTCTGAAATCCGTCTAACTCGGAACACACATTTTTAAAAATTTATATTGAGCTGTAAGTAACACAAAAACTTTGAAAACTTTAAAAAAAATTGTTTTAAATTCAGTTTAAAATATCTCCAACTTTGTGAATTGAGAAAATCAGTTTTATTTCTGCAAAATGCCAAACAATCAGAGTTAAAGTAAGGTTTTCAAGACCCATAGAGTGAATTGAGGAATTCAGTTATTTCTTCAGAATTATTGCTGCTTTCTAAGCTGAACCAGAGGTCCCATTAGTTTTTGGCTGAAGCCCCAATTAACCCTATGCAGGAGATAGCTTTTAAGCTTAGACATAATAAGAAAGAAAGCGAAATGAAACAAGATCACTCATGAGTTTAAGTTCTGCTTTAGGGAAATGAAAAAAAAGAAATTGTCAAATTGACATTTTTTCATTTGTACCCTCTTACTTCTTTAAATAATGACCTGCATTCATATTTATGATTGTTATCATAATATTTTGTTAAATTTGCTAAGCTCAAATATTTAACAATGTAATAGAATTTTCCACAGGTATTTTATCGTCATTGAACTCGGGAGATTATCCAGTCATTAACTAAATAAGTATAATTCATTAAATAAGAACACCTTGAGATGTTTACGAGTACTACAAATTTATTTTTATTTTAGCATAAACACTTTCCTTGTCAAAACGCACGATTCATTAATATAGATTGAACATTATGCAATTAAGTTTTCAGATTGTAGCAGACGTTAAACGTTTTTGCTAAAAACACATGCGTTAATAACACAATCAGTGGTAGTAATCGTTTTATATTTTAGAGGCATGCGTAAAAAGAAAAAAAAATGGGAAGTATTCGTGCAGCGAACCTGAAAGTGCTACCTCTTTTTCACCTCAGGCTGTGATCGGTATAGGACGCTAAAGTTAGCGCTCCGTGCAGTAGCCACATATGCCTTAGACTATCCACACCACTTACACCCTAATTCACCAACAGTATGTTCAATTTTTATTTTTAACCTTTTAAAAAGACTCGTGTCCATTTCGAATAAATGTAATGTTATGGTGATTTTTCTAAGCATAGCTTAGATGTGGCCAAAAGTATGGGGCCCCTAGTAAGGATCGAATTCGCTGCTAATTGACCTAGCAAGACAGGCTTATAATAATAAAGATACATAAATTTTGGTCGTTTATATTGAAGTCGAAGCATTTACATGGTTAAAGAATAAAATGTCAGTGCTTTATAATCGAGTATATAAGCATTTACTTGGTCCCGAGATAGATAAGTATTGGTCGTTTAAATTTGAGACTGTAAGCATTTACTTCGTTTGAGGATAGATAAATATTAGTCGTTATATATATATATATATATATATATATGTGTGTGTGATATCAGTGTCACCACAAGTTATGCAACACAGCCACTAACACGCATGGGGGTTATAGGGTGTGGAGGAATTAGTAATGAGGAGAAAGTGAAAAGAGCAATCAGGTGGACAGTAGATAACAATTGACATTATATTTAAATTTTTGCAGATTAAAGCCAGATGGAAAATATGGAGCTCGGAGGGAGTTCCACAAGCGTGAAGTGCGAGAAAAGAAACTGTTAGCATAGAACTTACGGCTATATCTAGCTAGCTTAACTGTAAATTGATGAGATCTCACTGCCAGTCTAGTATTGCGCTTAAATTCATACAGTCTAGTTACCATAGCGAAGAACTCATCCGAACAATTACCATGAAAGTAGTTATCAAAAAAAAAAAGCAGAGACAACGGCGATGGGCAAATGACTGAAGCAGTGTCGTCAGATCAGGACCAATAATATTGCTGATTTTTCTTTGGATCTTATCAAGGAGCTTCAGGAAAATAGCATATTGATGGAAGGCAGAGACGGGTCTTTCAGATGATTAATGGAGAGAAGTTTAATTTTGGAGCGTTAAAATTTACACGCCATCTTTGGCCCCAGTTAACGACGGTGCTGTGGCCGTTTGGTACATCAGCTGCCATATTGATTTTGTCTGATTGTTGTAAAGTAGTTTTACAGTGGAGGCTTGTATTTCAATAAGTCGGTCCTAAAAGGGTCCGACGTACAAAACGTTAGGAACTTGCAATAATAATAGTTAATGACGCAGCAATCTAGTTGTGGTCGTTGATACTTCAATGTCCGACATCGACTGACTCACTCAACTCCACTGAGCTATCGAAGCAGGAGTAAATTGGTGTGTCGTCAGCAGAGATACCAATTTGAGAGCTAATGTTATCGGGAAGGTCGTTAGTGAAGATTTAAAACAGCGTAGACCAAAGATGGAGCCCTGGAGGACACTCACGTTTATACGAAAGCATGTAGATGAATGGCCGTTCAGGGCAACTTTCATTTCACGATTTAATAGGAACGACTGGATCAGCTCAAAAACGTGCCCGGAGATACTGTGGCGTTTCAACTTGTGGAGAAGACCTGAATGTCAGAGCCTGTCGAGGGCTTTCAAGATGCCCAATACTACAGACCTCACCGTTTTCATCAAGAGCATGATAGACTCTTTCCGCAATTATTGATAGTACATCAGCAATTGATCTGGAGAAACGAAAGCTATATTGCTTGTATGAGAAAAGCCCGGTCGATGAAAGATGACAAACCAATTCAGCATTGATTATGGCCTCTAGGCGTTTCCCCCAAAGAGGTAGAAGTCTAAGAGACCGATAGTTGGATGGGTCATATGGTTCAACAGATTTTTTTAAAACCTGGAACAACAGATGTAACAGGAAAGCAGGAGGTTGTGAGGCATTTATTATATAGTTTAGAGAGAACTGGAGCTAGTTCGGGAGCATCCTTTTTAATGACTATTACAGGGATGCCATCGGGTCCACATGCTTTGTGGGGATCAAGGTTAGAGATGATAGTAGAAACCATGGGAGGGGTTATAGGCATATCACTCAAAAGAGAATTCTAAGTGGGAAGTTAGACGGGTGTATGTATCCTTTTTGTTTCCATTTTCTCTAAAAACAAGCCTTAAATATATGGAAAAATGTCATCTGAGTGTCAAATTTTACAAGCCTTCTTTCTTCATTATGTGCCTTAGAAATTTCTACCGTTTCTTACTGATGATACGTATAAGTGTCTTTTTTGTTTTCTATTTTCTCTAAAACTTCGTCGTAGACCATGTGTTCAGCGCAAGGTATTTTCAGCATCTTTCTGTAAAAACCACATTTCTGTTGCTTCAAATCTCTTCTACATCCGTGATGAAACTGTCCAGCGTTCACTGGAATATAGGAGAAATGTTATTGCATAGCAGTTAAGTAGTCTTCTCTTTTTCTAAACACATTTTTCTGTTTCTTAATACTTTGCTTAGCTTTTGGGATGCATCTTTCACTATCCCAATGCCCGTTCGGATTTCGGTGTCGCATTTTACGTCCTCTATTTGAATGCTTCCTGGATATTTAACTTTTTTTCTATTAGTTTGATTTTGGCATCCCTAATTTGTAATTCGCACGAGGGAATCGGGGGTCATTCGGGAGACTGCGTGCAATAGAGCTGGACGTACGAATTGACAGACGAACAAAGAGGAAGTCGAAGTAGGCGCGGCTGAGTACGGTGTCTGTTTCACAACTGCCCAGTGTCACGGCTGTGAAAGAGAGTCACGCAATCCATTTCCTTGAGGCGATCGAAGAAGAAAAAACAGCTGGCCTACCGGCGAGTACTGCATTTTTACCCCCCCCCCTTTACCATCACCATTGTTTTTTTTTTCTACATTGATCATGCTTAATCTGGGTCCTCGTCTTCGACCTTGTCGCCATGGGTGGTGCTACCAGGGGTGTAGAACTCTCGACAGCATCATTTGTAACGTACTTTATAGATTTAAAAATTGTCTTTTGATTTTGGCGTCTGCAATTTGTAATTCGAATGTTGGGCTCTTCTTCTTGATGACTACTTGCACGAAAAATCAAATGATTAGAGATTAAATGGATTAGAATAAATATTTATTGAACTTCTTTGAGCCGTATCTTTTCAGTTCGTAGCCGATTATGTCTCACCACAATTTCCTGTCCCTTACAGCTCTTGATAAATTTTCTTTTTGCTATCTCTCCTAAACCTTGTTCCGCCATCCATTTACTCAAGCTCTCGAGGTAAATTTTGCGTTGTTTTCCTCTGTCCTTCTTGCCCACCTCCTGTTCTGTGAAAATAAAATTTTCCAAGCCTTCTTTCCTCCTTATATACCGGAGAAACATCAACTACCAATTCCTGATGTTAAGTATAAGTGTCCTTTTTGTTTACATTTTCTCTAAAACTTCGTCGTTGCTCACATGTACAGTCGATGGTATTCTCGGCATCCTTCTGTAGAATAACTTTTTGTTGCTTCAAGCCTCTTCTTTATCTGTAAGGATATTGTCCAGTATTCATTGTCATATAGGAGGATTGATAGATAACAGTTCTGTACTATTTTCTTTGTTTCTAATGAAATTAATACTTTGCTTATCTTTTGGAAAGCATCTTTATAACAAAGTTAAAAACACACACACATTTTGATTTCGTGATGATTAAACCACTGAAGTTGTTTTTCGAGGTAGCTCCGGGCCAATCGTGAAAAATGACCGTAGAGCCCTACCGGATGGTTATCGAATGTGATTGGCACTTAAGGACAGTGGCGGAATTGCCTGAGTATAAGCTTGCTCGATGGCAAATGCCCCTATATCAACTGAAAATGCAATAAATAAACAAATATAGAACTGTATTAGTAATAAAAATGAATAAGGACTTAAGTCATCAAAACTCTCCCCATTTCTCCCCTCTCTCTCTCCCTCTCTCTCTCCCCCCTCCCCTCCCCCCCCCCCTTCCCCCCCCCCCTCCCCTCTCTCACTCACATCACGCGCGCACACACACACACACACACACACACACACAACACGTCCGTCATTGCTGACGACGGCGCTCCGTCCGCCTTCTGAGATAGCAACCCGATCCGCGAACGACAAGTTCTCTGGCAGGTCGCAGGGAAACATGCCCAGTGCAGAATTGACAAGTTGCAGAGGACGCTGGCGTCGCCTTCCATCGAGCGCTCCTCATCTCTCTTCCTCGAAGTGCGCCACTCCGGCGACGCAAAGAGACCGCCAGCCGATCCGATCCCTTGCGAGCTTCTCTAATTGTGCTGGGTCGACGTTTCAGGAGACAAGAGCACGCCTAACATAGTGTCGATATCGTTTGTTTGGGCCTCCATGTACGCGGCTGCCGGTTTCGAACTCTCCGAATAATTTTTGGGTGGCGATGGCCCGACATCCGCACATGTCCAACCCAATGTAGAAGGCGTTGTCGGATGATGGCTTCGACGCTGGCGACTTCCGCAAGTTGAAGAACCTCGGTGTGGGGGATTTTATCTCTCCAAGCAACGTGCAAGATTCGTTGAAGGCAGCGGATGTGGAATATCTCAAGTAGTTTTATTTGTCGGCGATACAGGGTCCAGCATTCACAGCCGTAGAGCTGTGCTGAAATAACAACAGCTCGATAGACAGCAACTTTGGTGATGAGTCGGAGGTTGCTATTAGAGAAGACCCGGAGGCGGAGACAAAGTTTATCCGCCTGAGAATGTCTTCATCAATATGTCCATTATCAGATATGACGCTGCCGAGGTAGATGAATGAACGAGTTCATATTAGACAAAGAAATGTTGTCAACGTGAAGCCGAGCTACTGGATTACGTTGTTTAAACGCTATTTCAATGACCTCTGTTTTATTTGGGTTGATATCAAGACCAAGGCGAGAATAAGCCTGATGCAATGGCGCTGTTGTAGTGAGAGTCCCTCATGAGAAATTATGGCAGCATCTTCGGCATATTGCAGTTTATAGGCAGAAATAGTAGAAGTCAGTCTTAGCTTCATCTGCACGCTATCAGTTACTTAATTCCAATGTGAGAGGACATTTTTCAAAACTAAAGATCATAAAAACAGGGTTAAGAAATTCGATGTCTGATGAGAATTTGGAATCATACATGTTGCTATCTATTGAAAAGGAATTGTTAGGAGAATTAGATAAAGAAACAATTATTCGCAGAATCGTACAATCCTCTAGTGAACACAAACTATTACTCCTAGTGGATTGCATGCAATGCTCTATTGTGCTTTTAAACTAACTGTTAATGCGTAAACTGCATAATAAACTATTTAAAAAGTATCAGCTAATTGCTTAAAATGAAAAAAAAATAAAAATAAAAAAAATAAAAAATTATAGCATTCTGTTTTTACATTTGGTATCTACTACTAGTAGCTCCTGGGTATGACGATAAACTACGTCCAGCAGCAAGGCCTCTGATCAGGAGGTTTTGAGGAGCGAGGAACCACCCCTTAATTGCTGGTGTTCCCAGGTCCACCATGACCCGGGGTGTTAGCACCTGTTAGGGTCCCAGGAGCAAATAGTTAATCCCGAAACTGTGTTCAAAATACTATGAAAGTGTAGAAATAGGTTTTAATATCGGAAATACTTTGTAAACAATTATTATCGGCAATAAATTTTTGAAGAAAAAAAACTATTACCAACAATACATTTCTGAAAAAAAAAAAAAAATATGACCAATAATACGTTTTTGAAAAAAAAAAATTACCAGCAATATATTTTTGGCAAAAAATATTACCAGCAATATATTTTTGGCAAAAAAAATACAATATAAACAGTTCTAAAGGAAAAAAAAATTATTACCAGAAATAGATTTCTGACAAAACAAAATATTACCAGCAATAAAAAAAATCTAGTCGGCATTAAATAACCCATTGAGGTTGATATGCCGTAAATCAAACGAAACTAAACTATTGCTAGTAATATGTACTGGTACACAATAATTATACAACTAATAATTTCTATAATAATTAATAATATAAAAATTCTATAATAATTACTATGAAATGCATATTGTTTTCTACAAAAGTTTAATTGTACCCTTTTTTCATATGTATTATTGGATTTTTTTCATTCGTTATGAAAATACAGTGACAGCATTGTAGTTGTGGGTGCCCCGACCTTTTGTCTCGTGGCAGTCAATATTGTAGACCCAATCCGCCTCTGTCTAATTTGGCTCCGGGGTATGACTCCGGGGCCAACAGTCTAACTCTCTGCTTTCGAGCGGAGAGGAACCCGGACAGGCTCCGCCGAAGGGCAGAGTCTCGTTCGGGGTGGTTGACTGCCCCTGAACCCGTTTATGCGGGTTCAAAAGGGATATATTTTGGCCGAGCCTACGGGCTCGGAAATCCCACGTTAAACCCGGCCTTGTGCCATATGTAACCCTCGTGGCGGGGGTGGTAGCTAAATATGATCCGCCTCTGCCTAATGAATGCAGGTGAATACAGTTGCCGAAACAAATCGGATTATAAAGTAGTGGGTTGGTGCATAATTATCAGGCGTTTTAGTCGACGAGTTCTTTGTTAATAAAAAATGCTGATCTGTTTACTTAGTTTAATAAAAACATTTTATTTTCAGGTTATAAAAATGCGTGTCAATAATCATATGCTCCGGAATAATCATTTAAAAATCTTTTTTTTGAATTGTTATATTTATTTTATCATAATAAATATTGTTTAAAAACGCCTGATAATTATGCACCAACCTAATAACAAAAATGCAAAAACGGAGCTGAATGGATAAATACATAATGGTAATAGAACTTTTTCTCAGAAATTAATTAAAAAAAATAATAATTACATAATGTAGCAGAAATATGATACAAGAGCAGGGAATGACTTTGGTAGAGAAAAACTGTCGAATTTTCTTGACACCTCCTTTTCGATTTTGGTACGCCTTAACGAAGAGGTGCTGCCCAGTGGGGACAGCCTCCCCGGGACTAGACATTGATTTCTATCTTTTCTGACCTCCGACCAAAAAGGCGGGAAATCAGAGACAGTCGATAAAACCCTTCGGCTCCAAGCGTTCTAAAGATACGTTGTGAGTATCGTGAACTTTATTTATTTATTTTTTTATTTAAGAGGTTCAATCGATTTAAACATTTTGAGTGTTGTTGATTTCGTGTACGACATATTACGATGGAGGCGCTGAAAATTCTCCGATTCGCTCAAAGAGGAATCATCTTGAGTCATGAAACATACATGCGATTCCAAATACAGCGTAACCCGGATATAAGAGAGTTGTCGGGACCGGAGAAGAAGTCTCTTATATCCGGGTTTCGTCTATTTTATATACATTAACACAGGCTCTAATTTGGGACCAGAGAAAATCTCTCTTATATCTGGGTTACACTGTATTCACTTTGCGAGTCGGCACACTTGACACATCATTTCTCAAGTTTCTTAAACCTCCTTCCACTACCATCATCCCCACCCACCCAAATCTTATGTTTGGTCAAAGAAAATTTGGTTCGAACTTCCTGTGTTGATAAATATATTGTGTTCTCATTTTGGTATTATTATTATTATAATTATTCCTTTAGACGTGTCTTTATCCCTCACCCGGTCTGTTGAATAGAGGTTTTGTTATGGAGTGATTTCACAGTGGAGACTTGTATTTGTACTAAGTCGGTCCTAAAATAGGTTCGATGTTCAAAACGTTAGGAACTTCATAGAATAGGTATGACGCAGTAATCTAGTTGTGGTCACTGATACTTTTAGTATCCGACTAACGGTCGTCCGACATCGACTGACTGAGCGACTCCTACTTATTATAGGTGGGAGAGTCTATTAACTATAGAATAGGTGTGTTCCACTATAACAGGTTTCTCCCTTGTTTCCTGTTTAGGATTGAGTTTCTGGTCATTTATAAAATCTACTTCAACTCTATACTTGTAACGTCTCTGCCTCAACTCTGAAATTTATACTATTTATTTATTTTAATTTTATTTATTTATTTCCCCAACAGGTTCGCCTATCGTCCGGTTCACACTCCACCCCGGTTTTTTGAACAGGAGTAGGGTTTTATCCCTTGTTTCTCGTTTATGATTGAGTTTCTGGTTCTTTCTAAAGTTTACTTTAACAGTATACATCTAGCGTCTCCGACTAAACTCTGAAATGTATATTATTACGACACGTTGGCTGGACATACTGGCTAACTCTTCATATAAGTTTGGCTTCCTTAAAAGTCGTCCAGATAGATATGTTTATTTAATTACTTTTTTAAGCTTTACATTGACTGAGAAACATCTTTTTTTTTTTTTAATTTAATGTTGAGTCGATTTTCAATATTGTGCTTTGAGCCGGAAACGCTTTCTCTAACTGGCCTTTGTATTTTTTTTAATTTCCAGTATGTTGCAAGCTATCAAAGTGAACATGTCTGTTAGGAATTTTTTTATTGAAATATATATTTGGCAAACATGAACTTTCGTGCTCGCAAAAAAAAAGCAGAAAAAAAACTGAGTGTCAAAAGGACGGTTTTTCCCATGATTCTATTTTAACAACTCCCAGGCAATATTTAAAGCGATGATTAGAATTGTAATAAAACCTAAATATATAATAAAAGTGAATTTATACATTTTTTCTTTGATAGAAGTCGACCATAGTCAGGTTCATCGAGTCAATGCGAATGATTCTTTCCTTAGCTGCATAGTATGTGCTTCGACAGAACTACATGCAAAGTGCGATGGATAAAGTCTCATCTCAATTTAAACATTATTATTTAGTGGATACTGGTATTTGAGTCAAGACATCGAAAATATAATATATATATATATATATATATATATATATATATATATATATATATAGTTTATTTGGTTTGTTTTACGGAATTTCAACCTCAATGGGTTATTTATTAATTCAACTAGATTTTTATTGCTGGTAACTTTTTGTTTTGTAAGAAATAAATATATTATATATATATATATATATATATATATATATATATAGAGAGAGAGAAAGTTAACATTTTGTATATAACGTGGTTTTTTTTTTTTATTATACCTTATTTTCCATATTTTTGCTACACGAGTTTTCGGCCTCGCGACCTTCATCAGGCAAAGAATGCTTATTTCCACATATTACTAAAAGGAATTAATTTTCCTTGTGTTTTCCGATGTTTAATCATTGTCTTTTGTGTGTAGCAGTAATCCAAATTTTTCTTGGACTTCGTTAAAACAACTATAATCTCTCCCTTCTTTATATATATATATATATATCGTGTAAAGGCACATACACATGTATTATGTTTTATCGTGTTTTATATCAATTTAATTCTACAACTGTTAAATAAAA